TAAAAAAAGCACAGGTGCTCGGTAAGAGGATTTGTTATTCCTGACGCATAAGGAAAAAGATATGAATAGGAAATCTGGTGCTTTTATGTTGCACAGTTTATGCTGCAGTTTACAAGCAGCCCAATTTCTGACAAAAAAAAAGATTTCTGCAGTCACCGTGTTTATGTATGGAAAATGATCATCTCTGCACGTGTGCTGATCAGTTTGTGTGTAGCAGGGGACAATTCTACATCAATTTCCCAAGATGGCTTTCTAGTTCAAAATCTTAAATCAGACTCCACCTAGAACTCGGGCACTGGAAAGCACATCCTAGCTAGAGGAGGGGAGAAGCATCAAGAGGGTGTCAAAAATGATCAGGCTGATCAAAATGTAGCCAGGGCCTCTTGATAAATATGCTTCCAAATCAAAATGCACAGTTTAGAAATGAGTGTTGGAATAAGATGAGGAGAATCTCCTTACTCCAAGCAAAGCTGCATAACAACCTGCTGGGAGGAGAGAGGCCAGAACAGTATTTGTGGTTCTGTCAAATCATGGTCAGTGACTGGAAGAACTGCCAAGCTACAAACAGGAAACCACAAGTCCCCATGTTTAGGGCTTACGTGCAGGCATTGAGAGGACACTAAACAGAAAGAACGTCCTGTTTAAAAGCAAAACCAAAGAGCTTAGATCACAGTGTGCGGATTGGGAAAGAATTCCAGAGATTCAGGAGCAGAGCTAGACCAGCTTAGCCATCTACTCAAGAGCGTATGAGTTAGTGAAGCGACGCAGCCCAGTTTCTTCCAGGCAAGCCACGCATTCATTCGAACTGCACACCTAAACCCACGACATTCACTGATCACGCCTGCCAAACCACAAGCAAAAACACTGCCAATGTTTGAATTTCCGTCTTGAAAAACATCGGAGGGTTATAAAATTAGAATTCTGAGAGTTATAAAATTAGACAAAAAAAAAGTCAGCTTCTACCTACTCACGAACGGAAGCACTGCGGGCAGAAATTAAAAGTCGTTACTTCGATATTTTCCCTTTAAACGAAAAAAAATGCTTCAATTTCATCAATTCAGACTTGTTCCACTACAAAAAAAAAAGTGATAGTCGTGTGACTTTTTCCGTTTGCAAATCTTTTTGTTTGACTCAGACAATTACAGATTTCAAAACCACCTCCTACATGAATAAACCCCTCGGATCTGTAACACAACTGAACAGAGAACGGAACTCGAGCCAAGAGCTAACATAGGGTCTTCCGGATTTTACTCCAGACAAACTGGAACAGGAGAGCTGATCGGTCCTGGGATAGAAGAGACCCTGGGAGCAGGAGAGGGAAACACCTGCTGTGTCTCGTGTATATTCCGAGTCTGGCAGGATAAACACGGACAAAAATCCCATCAACACAGCACGCGCGTAACTTTATCAACACAAAGATTGAAAGCTTGACAGTTATTATTTATCAAGGACGATAAGGCTGACATTTCCCTTTGTCTCATGTCCATGGTAACTTCCATTTTTCCTTTGTGTGCAAAGCACGTTATCTTCCCATTTTCACAAGCTGAATGCATTCTTCCTTTGGAACGATGAGATGCTTTTGAAAATCGACTTCAACTGTCTGCAGGGATTAAAGATTTTATTTAAAAAAAAACTTTTGGTTAGGGAAGCACATAAGTCAGGCAGTGTACACTTCGACAGTCCTGATACTGTAAATGTTTGCTTGAAGTGATTTCAAACCCACAGCGCAGAAGCCAGGACAATTCTGTTCTTAGAGATGCACTGAAAGTGCTAGTGCCTTATTTCTCTCAATCTAGTGACTGGCCTCCAACCGCCACTCATGCGTGAACATGAAAACACGTCATTTAGCTTGTTACATTATTGCGATTTCTGTGAACACTGAGGTTCTGCTCTTCCAGTCAGGAACCCACAGGACGAAGCAGGAAACTTTGCAATATTTCCCTCTGAGGAAACCAGGCCGATGCTTTAGCTGGGAGCAGTAACAGACATGGAACCAACTGCAGGCTTCATAATAGTAATAGTCAGCACTGGTGAATATTATACCCTTACTTCCTTTCCTGTACTGCCAGGGAACTTTGCACAAGCACCTCATACCTATAATGTTCTCGGGATGAAGGGCTTGTGCAAAAGTAATAGGTCTTCTTTCTAAGTAACAGGAGCCTTATTTCAGGCAAGCAGCCTCACTGAGAACAATGGTGACAACGCAAATGTTTGTGCGGCAATTCTATAACCACATTTCCTCTCAGCCTTTTTAAATACTGCTAAAGGATATACACGTATCCCAGAAATATGTTTTTCATTATATAGGTCCACATGCACAAAAACTATCGTGTAGAATTGAGACAGGCCTTTTTTTGTCCTCTGACCCTGTGACTCTCTCTGGCAGCTGGTCAGAGTGAATACTCTCATGTCGTTGATATGAATGCTTTTACATGCTGCGGTTCAATATATATTCTGTGCTTGTCCTGGCATTTAAGGCCTTCAAGAATGATTGCATTGAGAGCACAGCAGCAGAAGATACATTTTTGTGTTTCCCTAGTCTTCTCTCTGAAGGTGCCATCTCATTTTAAACCCCCCCCCGAGCTGCGCTGCTACAATTCTGTTTGTGCGAAAGGGGCGACACTGTTCCTTTCATACCTCCAATGGTCGAGAGGCCGTTGTCATGGCTCTGGCAGCTGCTGTCCAGCCTCCGCCTTCTGATCTCCAGCTCCTCCTCTTCCTGCAGCCTTTTGGCTATTTCCTGTCACAAACACATTCAGTTCTTTGAGGCTGTAAAGTGAGTACTAAGCAGTCACTTGACTGGAGCATTTTCTAAAGCAGCGCACATGCGCTAGAAAGAGTTTACAGCAGAGCAATAAGAAACAATTCCCAGTCTCAGAAGATTGCCATAGACGGGTATCGGTGTTTCCAGTTCTGGTCCTGCATTATCCCAGATCTTCCAATTCTCATTCCAGCACAGCGCTCTATTTTATTTACAACAATTTAACTTTCAAGCTATTTTAAGTATTTTCGATGGCAGGACGGAGTTAGAAACTCTGTTGGCCAGACGCTACGACCATGTGGCACTTAACCCAGGACAGCTCTCCAACAATGGCTGTAATGTGACCTCTGGCCACAGCGTCTTTCACACCAGTTTCAGCGCAACGTTAATTCAGAATAAGGAGCTGTTGAGACAGCAGCCAGTGCTGTGGTATCCCCGATTTCCC